GATTTGCTCAAATGCCCTGGTTTTGAGAGAACAGTTCATCGTCTGCATTGAGGCAATGCCATTTAGCGGATAATGCAAAGAGAATTATGTGAAGGCCTGATTCACTCATGTGGAACCATATGGGCTTAATGAACCTGCTGATCTGAACTCAATCATATAATGTACATTAACCCATGTTTCTTTGTCCCCATAGGGCAATGTCAGCTGTTCTGGCTATATTGCTTCATTAGATAAAATGTGCCGGATAAGGCCGGCATCTGTGCTCTTAATGAAAATTAACAGACACTAGCTGGAAATGATTTTGCATTTTTGCTACAACCACACTTGATGCGTACAGTACAAATGTGTTTCATTGGCTCGTGGTTGCTACGGAGCATAATAGGTTGTAGGATGTCAACATTTATCTGTTGCAATGTTAAACATAATGTAAAACGTTTGAGATACACAATCACACAAGTAGCAGACATTAATTATGAGCCATGTTTTGACTCATAATAGTATAGTAAATGACTACATTTAACCTCAGTCTGTTTGGCTGCTGGATGCTGTAAAATATTTGTTGTAGGTGATAAACAATGGATTCTTCCAAATGAAAAATGATGTGCAAGTATTTCACAGTGTCCTACTCACTGGTTACACCATGTTCATCACCAAAACAGGAAGATTAATCATGTTTAATGCTATTGCATACACCACATTACGTCACCACAGAGATTGAACTCCACCGGATACACACGCACTTTTCACAACATGAATATTTAAGAAATATGTCAAAAGCAAGTTGTGTCCAAAAGTGGCGCAATACAGGGGACAATTCAGGATTGCACATATTACAGATCATGAGGCTTTAAGGGTGATTCAAGTCCCTGTTAAACTAAATTTGACTGTTCTCAGGCAAAAAGTAGTTGGCTTAAATTTAAGGACATTTTGTGTTCCTCCATACATGGCACCAGACCATTATGTAGGGAGTCATTAGTTAAAACCTTTGGGGGGGTGGGGTTCATGAACTCAGTATTTTACTCCAACTCTATGTCAGAACTACATTGTTTTCTCTCCTTAAAAAACAGTTGGGAAATGTTTTGCCTGCATTTCTACATTATTATTTTTTTGATTATTTTTTATTAAGTTTCTTTTTGTTGTAATACTCATTTCAATTTCAAGTGCACCACTTCCCCAATGTTCTAAATAGGACTAGAAGCATTCATGTTTTATTCAAGGTAAGTTTTAGTTTGTTTATTTATTCCTTAACACAAGTGGATAACGAGTATTTACAAAACCAAATCATTTACACGTGGACATGGATAAAATGCCCAAAAGTTAGACCCATATGTTGCACATTAGCAAGTTGTGTAACATAACATGTAACACATTGACCTGTAAAATGGTAGTATATGGAAGCTTTGGGTTGTTAATACTGACCTGGCCGCACCTGTTGACCCCTTTGCTTCACTTAAACAGATATGCCATTTAAACAGCATAATGAGAACAGGACATTGATATAAGTCATTTAAATAAGTTCAGTCATAAATAGCTATAACATTTCTGGCGTGATTAAACGGGCTCATTTGCATGTGCCAACCTGCTAAACAGCTCATCTCCCACTCAGTACAAACGTGCCTGATGGAAATTTACTGAGTTAACCAAAGTCGATGGCGCAACGTGTTGAAAGGCTACAGCGTCATCAGGAGGACGTGAGGTGTATAAATACAGACATCTTCTTTGACTGCACAATCAACTGCAACGGACAATACAGCAGCATCAAAAGCAAAGAAATGCCTTCAACCAACGGTAAGCATCTGTATCTATCTTTTTTCACTTTTTATTTGACCTCAGGAAAGAAAGATACAATTATTTAATTACTGTAAATGTTAACATAACAAATGAATGCTTAATAAATGCACAGGTGAAACTTGAAAGCAACATCCAGCAACATTCATTTTTTCGGTTTGTACAGTTACATACAAACTACTGTGCTGATGATGCATTTTTAGATAATTTTAGATACCTTAGAAAAACATCTTACAGGCCAACCATACAAGTGTCAGTCATAGCAATCCTTAAGTGAAGGCTTAAAACAACCCAAAAGATGCAATTAAAGATGATGTATTAATAAGTAGTGTAGAGGTATGTCTGTGTGTTGGTCCGGATCATCGGGCAGACTTCAGCAGCTCCTGCCATATGTCACACTACATCATGTGAAGTTTTTATTCATTTAACCAGATTGCAGGCAGCAGACAGGACTGCTTCCACCTATTAAACAAGGATGTGCAATGACTTCTAAATTTGAGCTGGTGTCGGCTTCTGTGCTGTAGGTAGGCCATCAGCCAATACAGCTCATGCTAGAGCAGGCTGGACCTTAGTAGAGGGACGGTGAGTGCGACAGACAGACATTGCCATGGCTATAGCGGTGCAACAAGTTATGATCTCGCCCGTTTTAAAATAAAAATAAACAAAAAATACTCTACTAATAATTACTTTTATAATCATTTATAACAATCACCTACAATAATGACAGATATTACTTTTTATTATTTGTTGTATCACAAATATGTTACAGGGTACATTTTTTATTGACAAATTTAATGACGTAAAAAGATTACAGTTACATTTA